CAGGCTGGCCTCGAACTCACAGAGATCCACCTGGCTCTGCCTCCCGAGTGCTGGGATTAAAGGCGTGCGCCACCACCGCCCGGCTATAATAAAACTAAAATAGATTTAATTAAAATGATAACTACCAAAAAGCTACTTTTTATGAAAAGGAAAGAAACTCATACCCAGAATACGTAAAGGGCTCTATCAAATCCATAATACAAACAACCCATGAGCAAAATTAACAAAATGGCCAATAAGTACATGAAAAAACACTCAAATCATTAGGTAAACGTGAATGGAAACAAAGTGGTATCACTACAGATCACCCAAATGGTCAAAGCAAGAGGGAAAACGAAGTAGAATCGAGAACATAGGAACCGGACTCTGGCCCTCAGCTGGGTTGGTTTAAAATGTAGAATTTGGAAACTGGCTCTATTGATGAGTTAAACACAACCACCTTATTTATGACTCAGTCCCACGGCTGTGCAGAAAATGACCAAAAACCCATGCACAGAAAGTGTACTATATAAGCACCTTTAGTTAGATGAAAATGGCAAACCCAGACAGAACAGAGAGATAGTGCATTTATGTAATGAAATAGCATCCAATATGTATGTGCAAAGTCTCTCTCCCTCTGAACTATCACTACAAATAATACAAAAGAAATCTTGAGCCAGGGTCAGGAAGACAGTGCAGTGGGTAAAGGTGTTTGTCACCAAGTCTAATGACCTGAGTTCAATCCCTGGGACCCACATGGTAGAAAGAGAGAACCTATAAGCTGTCTTCTGATCTCCATACATGTCACAAACATGCACACAATCAATTAATTAATGGTTTTTAATTTTTTTTTCTAAAGGAATATTGGGGGCTAGAGAGATGGCTCAGCAGTGAAGAGCACTGGCTGTTCTTGCAGAGGATTTGGGTTTGAGTCCCATCACCCACAAAGTGGCTCACAAATGTCTAACTCCAGTTCCAGGGAATCCAATGCCTTCTTCTGGCTCCACAAGTACCAGGCAACACATGTAGTGCCCAGACATACACACAGGCAAAACATCCATCCACATAATATAAAAACTTTGGGGCTGGAGAGTTGGTGTGAGGGTAAGAGCAAGTACTGATCTTCTTGAGGACCTGAATTCAGTTCTACATGAGGAGGTTCATGACAACCTGTAACTCCAGCTCTAGAAGATATGACACCCTTTTCTAGCCTCCAGGCACTCAGGCAAGAACGCACGCGCACGAGCGTGTAGCCCTGGCTATCTGTCCTAGAACTTGCTCTGTAGACCAGGGTAGTCTCCATCTCAAGAGATCCATCTGCCCCTACCTCACTAAAGGTATACATCACCATACCTGGCATTAAAAAAGAAAAAGAAAAAATAGTGGGCATTATAGCACACATCTTTAATCCCGGCAGAGGCAGGTATATCTCTGTACATTTGAGGCCATCCTGGTCTACATAGTGAGTTCCAGGCCAGCCAGGGCTACATAGTGAGATCCTGTTTCAAAAACTCAAAGAAGGGAGGAAGGAGGGAGGTCAGAGGTGGCTGAGTGGGAGATGTCAGGGCTAGAGAGATGGCAGAGCAGTTAAGAGAACTGACTGCTGCTTTTCTAGAAAACCCATACAGCAGCTGACAATCATCTGCAATTCCAGTTCCAGGGAATCTGCCTTCTTCTGGTTGCATCTGGCTCTTCAGGGCACTGCACACACATGGTGCAAAGACATTTATACATACAGATAAAAACATTCATGCACATAAATCTTAGAGAATGATTTCGTTTATATGAAGTTTATTAATAAGTAAAATTACAGTGACTATAGTCATAGTAGTGGGGTAAAGAGATGAAGTAATCAATGGAAGAATCATTGACTATAAGAAGGGACATACAGGAGCTCTCCTGAACGCTAATAAGGTTTTTAATTATTTTTAAAATCTTTATCTTTAATTGTGTGAAGAATCATTGACTATATGAAGGGACATACAGGAGCTCTCCTGAACGCTAATAAGGTTTTTAATTATTTTTAAAGTATTTATCTTTAATTGTGTGTATACGCCTATTATCTGTGTGTGGTATGTGCACATATGACTGTAGCTGCCTGCAGAGACCAGGGGTGACTATTCCCCTGGAAATGGAGTTACAGGGAGTTGTAGCCACATAGGGGCTAGGAATAGAATTCAGGTTCTATGTAAGAACAGTAGATACTCTTAACTGCTGAGCCATCTCTCAGCCCAGAGCTTTTAAATCTTGATTTGAGCGGGTGGAGGCCAGTGGCAGAGCATTTCCTAGTGTGCACGAGGCCTGGGTTCAATTTCCAGCATTTGGAAGGAGGAGTAAGAAGGGAGGGCAAATCCTGCCTTGGGTTTCGTGTGCGTCTTCCTATGTGAACTTCAGCAGCTGTCGCCGTATCTGAACAGTTTGATATACACAGACCACACCGCAGTATAACAGTGACAGTGACCACAGACTTACACTCCCAACAACTCCATTGGCCTGCTTCTGCTTCTGCTGTTTGGCCGGGGGGAAGGGCAGAGCTGTGGGCTTTTTTTTCAAAGGCTTCTTCTTTTTGGACTTGGGCATCTTCTTGGGTCCTTTGCTCTTCTGCTGCCATCCTCCTTTGGCCTTGTTCTTGCTGGCATCACTCTGCTGCAAAGCACAGGTGACTATGAAGGCTCAACAGTCATTTCTAGAACTATTGCATTTATTTCATGAACTCTATTCTACCCCGCAGTAATTAAGTCAACCAAAGAAGGTAAGAAAACTCAAGTTGTTACCCCATCTTCCGTAGGCTGTTCCTCTGCAGCGCAGATGGACTGTTCCTTTTCAAATACTTCCTAGAGGCAAGAAGAACAACAATATCTATCAGTCAACGTGTGTCTCTCAGATGAAACATAACATCCTCCAAAACATCTGTCCATGAAGGTCTTGTTAATTAGCTGCAATTGAGAGGGTGAGAAGGCCTGGCAGTCCTAACTCTGTTCATATGCAGGGAGCAACCTTCTGAAGTACCTTAGAGCTGCCAGAAACAGACTTTGAAAAGTACAGTCTACTTAAGTTAACACATTCAATGACTTAATACATGCAAATTCATTATAAAGTCAAAAATATTTCAATTTAAAATTTCATTTTATTCTAATAGCAATCAAGCAAGAATATTTTAATGAGAATTTGAATATATCATATTATTCTACTTTTCACCTTCAAGGGACCACTATACATTTATTCATTAGTATCACGGATTACCAAGAAAATCCATATATCCTAAAAACATATCTAGTAACCATACAATTTAATCAGAATCAATACAAAAACTATAAATTTACAATTTAAAGCTCAATTAGAACCTAGTAAGAATGCATACTGGAAAATGACAAGTGATATAGGTTGTGCTTAATAAATGTCTTTGAATTATAGCCAATAAATGAAAAAAAAAAAAAAAACCCAACAATTAAGCTCTACAAGAGACAGCCTAGCCTGATAAGAGGCCAATAAGCTGGCACCACCATTTTGTTTGTTTTCATGGTTTTGACAGATCTCATCATATAACCCAGCTGCCCTGGATCCACAATCCCCCTGCCTCAGCCTCCCGAACCCAAGTTGCTGGGATAAGGCATGTGCCACCACATTTGCACTCTAAGGTTTTGTTTTCTCTGTTTGTTTGAAGTAATGGGGGGGTGGGGTGCAGATGTAGAAGCCAGAGTTGAATGAGTTGAAATAGTGGTCTACCAAAAACATGAATGACAGGGATCACCAGGTAAAGCCTGACACCCTGATTTCGATCCCTAGAACCCACATGGTAGAAGGAAGACCAACTCAACAAGCTGTTCTCTAACAGCCACACAACGGCAAGCATGCACACACGCACATACACATGAAATACTAGTGGACTTGAACGATAACAAACATACAATAGAAATGGAGAGGAAAAAGTGCAAGAATTACATGCAATTGTATTTATAATGAGTAAGGCAAGTACCAAAGTACATGGTATGTGTATATATGCAAATTTACTGCAGAGATCCAAACTGAGTGTGAAGGTAAGATATAAAAGGACCACGAATAGGCCATGTGAGGCTGATAAGGAATAATGGACAGTGAAAGAAATGAGTTTTGAAAAAACAAAACAACAACAAAAAAACCTCTCAAAACATTTAGTTCTACAGCACACATCTATTAGGATATTTCAAGAAATTAGCAGTGGGGTTTCAGAGTGACCATTGTTTTTCCCTATACTTTCCTATCTGTTTGAATTTCTTTCCAAACATCATAAATTTTTCACATTATCAGAAAGTTATTTTCAGTGTAATTTGTAAATATTTTGAGTAAAATTAAAACAAACTTTAAAGAATTGACTAAAATGAGGCATTGAAATTACCAACAATAATCTACATAGGTAGCACTTTACAGTATAAAAACAATACTTACATAACTATATCATAGACAATTAGCAATAAACATGAAGAATTAATTCATTTCCAGTTTTTAGTGCCTATGAAAACTCTATCACGAAAACTAGTATTATAAAACATCTAACAGAACTTGTTCATTTAGATCTTGTTCATTTAGAACTTGTGTTTTAAGAACATACTTAAACTGAGAAAAAAAGCATAAAAATATTAACTCATAAAGCACAAAAATACAATTACAAATAAATTGGGATGTGTGGTCACAGCCCTCAGGAGGCTGAGCCAAAAGGAACAGGACAGTGTAGGTACACAGCAAGACCCTGTCTCAAATACGAAACAAAACAACAACCGAGCTGGGAGGGTGGTGCAGTCAGGGAGGTGCTAGCCACACCACAAGCATGAGGACTTGAGTGTCATCACCAGAATCCATGTTTTAAAAGGTATGGGGGCCGGGCGGTGGTGGCGCACGCCTTTAATCCCAGCACTCAGGAGGCAGAGGCAGGTGGATCTCTGAGTTTGGGGCCAGCCTGCGCTATAGAGAGAGTTCCAGGAAGGACTCCAAAGCTACACAGAGAAACCCTGTCTCGAAAACAAACAAAAGGCATGGGGTTGGGGGCCTAGAAAGGGTATCTCACTTGTTGCTCTTGCAAAGAACCTGGGTTCAATACCAAGTACCCAAATGGTATCTCACAACCATCTAGGGCATCTAATATCCTCTTCTGATCTCTGTAGGCACCAGGCACTCATGCGGTGTATATGTATACAGACAGGCAGAACACTCATATATACAAAATGACTGAATCTTAAAAAATAAAAAATACAGCCAGGCATGATGGGCAGCACATGCTTATAATTCCAGTACTAGGGAGATAGAGACAAGTACAATTCTGAAACTAGCTGGCCAAGAAGCCTCACTAAATACGAAGCCAATGAGAGACACCATCTGAAAAATAACACTGCATCATCAGATTTTGACCTGCAGCCTCCACATACATACATATGCATCCATGTGCAAACACATGCATTCACACACAAACCAACAAATATACAAATAAACCTGCAAAATAATAAGTATAAGTAAACAAATTATACAAATAAACTACTTACGGCCATCGTCTGCCTTGTCAATTTAACCAACACTGTGACTAGGGATCCTACTGTGATGTTGTTGCTATCCTCATCATCCAATACTGTAAGATAGGAGGATAGAGCAAAATATAAAAAACAGGTTCCAAGTCAACGCACACAGCAATATTTAACTTCCACACAACAATCTGGTACTTCAGTATTTTGAAAATATTATGTTTAAGCTTATTAAAGTAATTTATTGATATTCTGTAAATCCCTCCTGGTGCCTTCAACAACCGCTTCATTTAATCCTTAAAAGACTCAGGATGTATCGTCATTTCCACTTTAAGAAACAAGGTTCACAGTTAGCGCTGACAAATTTCAGAGCCAACTCTGCAGATACTGTAAAGTTTACTTCTTTGACCAATGCCTGACTGTGAGACGAAAATAATGAAAACTAACATTCCCAATGACCTTAAACATTTGGAGACAATATTTAAAGCAGTTAACTTCAATATAGTTTCATTACAAAGCTTTTAAGCATTAGCTTTGGGAAGACATATTAAAACAGGGACAACAGACAGAAGATGAGCACTGCCTGTGTGCAAGGATGGCATGCAAATTCGTATACAGTTCCACATTTTTAAAAGAGAAGACAGCCCAGCAGATGCTATGAGTTGAAAGAGGATGGTCCCCATGGGCTCATATTTGAATGTTTGGTCCCCAGCTCATAGAACTGTTCTCAGAAGAATTAGGAGGTGTGGCATTTTGTGGAGGAGGTGTGACACTGGAAGGGGGCTCTCAGGTTTTAAAAGCCCACACAAGGCCCTGCCTTCCATGTTCTCAGTCTCCAACTCACAGATCAGGATGTAAGCTCTCAACTACTGTTCCAGTGCCATACCTGCCTGCCTGCTGTCAGGCTCCCTGCCATCATGGCCAAGGACTTACCCTCTATCACGTAAGCCACAATTAAATGCTTTCTTTTCTAAGTTGCCTTGGTCATGGACTCTTCAGCCACAGAAAAGTAACTAACAGAGCAGAAAAGATGGTAAATGCTTGTTCTGCAAGCATTAGGTCCAGAGTATAAACTGTCAACACCCACATGAAAAGCCAGGCATACAAAGTATGTATAATACCAGCTTTGGGGGGTAGAGAATGGTGATATCTGAGAGCTAGCTGGCTGCCCAGCCCAGCCAAAAAGGCTAGTTTCTGGTTCAGTTAGAGAGCCTACTTCAATGCAACAGGGAAAAGAGCAATGGAGAAAACTACCAAACATCCTGCTATAGTCTCTGCATGCTTATACATCCATTCCTATATTCACATGCATGCAACACACATACACATACCTCCTATATACACAATACTGCTACCAATAACACTGCAGCTTTATAATAGGTATTAAAATTCTAAGTGCAACTGTCCATGGCTATACATAATTTACTATATACAAGATATATAGGATGTAATAAGACTATTGTGGAAAGGGGGCAATGGAAACACTTATTTTGTAATGTGCCTCTAAGTTTGAAATTATTTCAAAACAGAAAGTTGGGGGAAATTTTCTTTGGTAGGCCAAATAAGGTGATCAGGCCTGTAAACCCCAGTACACAAGAAACAGAAAGATTGCTGAGGGTTTAGGGCTACCACAAACTACGAAATGAGATTCTGTCTCAAAACCAGCCACCAAATAAAAAACAAAAACTCTTGTGGGCTCCAAGAATATATTATAGAGATTCAGCTGTGTATTAAAGCTATACTTTGACCGGCCAAGGTTCTGTGGAAAGGCAAGCCATTTATTATGAATATTTGGTGATATCCAGCCTTTAATATTTCAGCTGTCCTCTGCTATGAAATCCTTGCCTGCCTATACCAAATCGCAAACAGTTCAGCTCCCCAGACCTACTGAACTACTAAGTTACTAACTCCCCTGCTGAGCTTAGGAGACACATAGCTTTGTTTCCTGTGCTAATGAAGCTCAGACCATCTCCTCACCTTGAGAATGCCTAGTGGTTCCCCAGAGCAACTGACTGAGAACAAAAGGGGATTTTACACATCAAGGTGAGAGATAAAAGAACATTCCTGAGGAAGCAGAGAACCGAGTGCCCAGGGAAAGAAAGGGCAGGCATTTTCTGTAGAAAGAGACAGAACGGCATGGCGAGAGAGAAGAGAGGAAGACAGAGGTTCTATAGAGGGTGAGCAGATCTCAGGTAGAGTTCTCTGAGTGCCAGGAGTAGAGAGTAGTGGAAATGGAGAATGAAGACATGAAGGACGAAGATGGGGTTGGAAGTGTAGGAGTTAAGGCGTTAGCAGGACTATGAGCTAGGGAACTGGATGGAACTGAAGCTATGGAGGCAGGATCTCATCCCAGAGAAATAAAGTAGACGGATATAGAGCTTGGTATCTAGAGTTGTTCCTGCCTTGAATGCCTGGTGGAGCTATAGCTGAACTGATAGAATTGTCTTAGAGGAATAAAGTTGACAGACATAAGAACATAGTATACGTAGACTTTTTCCCCTCAGACATCCCACGCCGGACGTAGCTAAGCCCCTGGTGTTAGGATTCTGCCACGCTCGGCATGCTCATCAGCATGGTGTAGCGCCCTAAGCCCACCTGTGCCCGCTCACCTGGAACCCTTTAAGAGTTGGCCCCAGAGCCCACCCTCTCTCTCTGTGTCCCCCCTCCCCATCTTTCTCTTTGCACATGCTCCTTCCCCAGGCCTGGTTGTCTTCCTTCTTTCTAACAAAGCTCTGATACGGATACTGGGTTCTGTCATGACTGTGACCTCTCTACACCGGAACCAGTGCTCTGTGTATCATTCTTACATTGGCATCTTTCTCTCTGCTCTCTGCATGTGCGTCTCCCCAGGCCTGGTTCTTCTGCCCGCACCCCTCTTCCTCCTAATAAAGTTCTGATACTGGGTAGTCGTGGCCATGCCTCGTGACCTCTCCACCCAGTAACCAGCCCCATTTATCATTCTTACACCTGGACCATGGGTACGCCATTAAAAAAAAGAATATTTCTTTTGTAATAAATAATACTAAACAGTATGTGTAAACATTTAATTTTGCCATATAGCCTCATAATCTACAATATAATAAATAAAAACAAAACTTCTCAAGAACACTCTGTGATAACTTGACAGGAAACAAGCCTTTGAGCATGTCTTGGAGTTTCTGGATGGGGTTCGCTGTGGTGGGTAGGCCTACCCTACTCCTGTGGGCCAGAAAACGGCCTGCCCTGACTAAGGAGAAGGCAGCTGAGCAGCAGCGTCCAACGCCCTGCTTCCTGACCGCACCAACCATCCTGCTGCCTCACACGGGGCCACCGACACTTGCAGCACTTGGACTACACCGTTCCAACCACGAGCAATGTAAACCCTTCCCTTAGACTGCTGATAAGGTAGTTCGTCAAAGCAATGAGAAAGATAATGACTACTCACACCTTCTACTCCAGTGACATGAATTCCTTTTTCTACAGATTTTATCTATAAGAAAGTTCTTCACTGAGAGTTTCTCTTTTTACTATTTTCTAAGTTTGTGCTTGGCCCATACACACCAACATCTGGAAAACAGTATACTCCAACAACTGATAACAGCTAACTCTACTACTAGTTATGATGTATGACCGTGTGGCTCAAGAAGGGTACACTATCCTTTCTCTACCCTAGAGGCCTCTGTTCTCAGAACTCAAACCTGGGCCACATGTATATCCACATTTTTCACTCTGCAATACCTGTGATCAGTGTGCACAAGTATTTAGTGTTTTAAAGTGGGGGAGAGGAGCTGCCATGAGATGCTATGTGGTCTCTAATGATAAAGAGAAAGCAATTATCTCCAACACCATGTTAAGCACTGGTCTTATAATCTCTACTCTTCCTTCAAACTATGTGGCTCCTATGACATATTCAAATAACACAGTAAAATAATTCTTACTTGTTGTGGAATATTCGCTAAAAATGTGTTCCATTCTTTTATATTATGGAATGTTTGTTTGATGATGCAAAGATGTGTTGCATTCTTTTATTCTGTGAAGCTGTGTTATTGTGCCTGCCTAAAACACCTGACTGGTCTAATAAAGAGCTGGACAGTCAATAGCAAGGCAGGAGAGAGAGAGAGGGGTAGGGCTGCCAGGCAGAGAGAACAAACAGGGAAGAAGAAGGAGAGAGAGAAGAGGAGTGAGAAAAGGAAGAGGAGAGGAGGATGCCAGTGAACAGCCACATAGCCAGCTACAGAACAGAGTAAGAAAGAAAGAAAGAGATATAAAATAAAGAAAGGTAAAAGCCCACAGGCAAAATGTAGATGGAATAATTTAAGTAAACAAACCTGGCTAGAAACAAACCAAGCTAAAGGTCAGGAATTCGTAAGCAAGAATAAGTCTCCATGTATTTATTTGGGAGCTGGGTGGTGGGTCCCCAAAGAACAAAGAGTATTAAAAAAAATAAATAAATAAGGGGAAAAAAAAACCAACTACACTTACTTCCTCAAAGATAAACCTCTTCAAACATTTTTTCTAAGCATATATGTTTTACAATAATTGATTATAACAAAGATTATCTCTTAAATCCCAAACCGATTTAGATAAAAAAACTAAAACCTTAAATGCAGTCTTTAAAGACTTATTTTTACTTTATATGTTCGTGTGTGAGTGCCTGCAGGTATACATGTGTACATGTGTGGCTGGTGTTAAAGGAGTTATAGATGACTGTGAGCTACCAGGTGGGAGCTGTGGATTGAACCTGGGTCCTTTGCAAAAGCAGCAAGTTGTTTTTTCTTTTTTTTTAGTCTTGAGTTTTTTGTTGTTGTTGTTGTTGTTACTTTCAGTGTTTCGAGACAGGCTTTCTCTGTGCAGTTTTGGTGCCTGTTCTGGATCTCGCTCTGTAGACCAGGCTGGCCTCAAACTCACAGAGATCCTCCTGGCTCTGCCTCCCGAGTGCTGGGATTAAAGGCGTGTGCCACTGTCACCTGGCACAGCAGGTGCTTTTAACCTCTGAGCCATCTCTCCAGTCCCTAAATGCAGCATTTAGGTCAGTGATTTTAAAGTCTAAAAACTCACTGATCTAAAAGGAAACTCCCAAATCCCTGAAAAATCTGTCCAAAGTATGTACTGTATGTATGTACTATATGTAAATACTTTGTAAATGTCCTATGCACTAGGCGAACTGAAACCAGATGACACTGTTTCCATCCCTGTCCCTCGCATCCCAATTTTAGGAAATCCTTTACTTCTCGTTTATATTAGAATACAAATTCAGTAAAGCAAAGTGCCTTCAGCAAAGTTCTACAGATGCTAGTGAAGTACACAGCACTCAATGTTTTTACATGAATATAAGGCAGAACGTCTGTCATTAACACTAAGCAGTTAAGTCATTATGTTGTTTTTAATCCTATACTTAACTAGAGATGAACTCTTCCTAACATGTTCCTGCATTCTTGGTACCTAGAAAAAAATGTCTCTCAACAGTGAATTGGTGAATGTCACAACTCAAAACTGTACCACAAAGACAGAATAAACCAATATAATCTGTAATTCTGTGTTCAAAAATATTACTTGGCTCTTAAAATAGTGACAGGGCAATTATGTAGGTAGAAAGTGTTTTCACTTAAAACAGATATAAAGACATGAAAAAACACATGAAACACAGGCATAGTAATCTTCAAAGCTTACTATAGATACATGTTAATTTCAGCACTAAATAACTATTTCTTTTAACAATATATTGGAAATATCTCTTCCTTTCATCATATTTGGACCCTTCTTGTGTTCTTTGGAAAGTTAAGCAATTCCAAGAGGATAGCTAGGACTCCACTGAAAAAGCACTGAAGGAGAAGCAGCTCATGGTGTTAAGTTAGTGGGAGAGCTGCCAATGGATCCTGATGCAGCTTCCGCCCCGAAGGCACAGAGATTACAACTAGTATTTTAAGCACATCCACGTAAGAAAAGACCGCATAGCACAGCCACAGTTGAGACAGGAATGGCAGCCTATGACATGACATGAGCAATAAAGCAAGAACCACAGGAAGAGGGTGACTTCTACACTCTGAGCATGATTGCCTGCCCAGTTCCATGTGTGAAGAATTCAACTAAGGTTAAATCTTCCATATCCTCACTCAGAACTAATTTCCAATTATAGGTGATTGATACACAAAAAGAAAATCCAGAATATTCAACTATAAAACAGTATCTTTGTATTTAGCACAACTGTAACACACATAAAGGCAGGGTTTTAACAAGAAAACTACAGTTCTCCAAAGTCTAATTACAAATGACATCATTAAAATGTTTTAAAGACAGATACAGTGGTCCATGACTGTGTTGTAGAATATTTTAAGATATGCTGTGGAACATTTGTTTAATGATGTAAAGATGTGTTGCATTCTTTTACGTTGCATTTGTATAACTGTGAAGTTGTGCTACTTTGCCTGCCTAGAACAGGCATTGCATTGTATTGATGGGTCTAATAAAGAGCAGAACGGCCAACAGCAAGGCAGGAGAAAGGATAGGTGGGCTTGGCATGCAAAGAGAATAAATAAAGGAGAAATCTGAGAAGAGGAGACCTAGGAGGAGAGATGGAGGAGGACTCCAGAGTCCAGCCACCCAGCTACACAGCAAGCCCCAGAGTAAGAAGTAAAGAAGGGTATACAGGATAAAGATAAAAGCCCAGAGGCAGAAGGTAGATGGGATAATTTAAGTTAGAAAAGATGGCAAGAAACAAGCCAAACTAAGGCTAGGCATCTATAAGTAAGAATTTGGGAGCTGGGTTTCGGGCCTCTCAAAGAGCAAAGAGTAAAGAGTGAAAAACAACCAACAATATGACTGTAATATCAGCACCCGTAAAGACAAGATGTCTGAACGTCACATACATATTTACAGGGGTAAATTTTATTAATTTTTTATGGGGTGTCACATACATAATTACAGGGGGCGGGGCGGGGCGGCCTCAGAGGCGTGCTTAAAGGCAGTATTACAAAATATACAAAGGTGCTCTTTCTGTTCTTCACAGTACATAAAAGAACCCTGCCTCATTTCCAAATGAGACACTATAAAATATATCGCTATATACTATATAACTTACAGAGTATTCTGTACAGATGCAGGGCTATAAATATGCCACATAAATGGCTGTTTGGGAACTTTTATCTACAGAAGGGCTCAATTTGGCATCTCAGCCTGTTCAGATGGTGAAGAGTGTGTTGGGAGAGGATGTAGAGGGCAGGCTTGTGGTACAGTCACACTGCCTCGCTTGAATCAAGCTGAGGCTTGTTTTTTTTATGGGGGTGGGGGGTGATGGCTGAAAAGCTGGGGTAGGAGTAACGGGGGCTCTAAAAGGCACAGTAAAGGTCATCTGGTGTGAATAGGAGCTCACCCTTTACCCAGAGATCACCCACGAACTCTGAGCTTCACCATGATTTTAAGGGTGTCTAGCCACTCCCCATCTCCTCCCTCCGGACAATTCCCTTGGAGCTCTGTAGGTGTGGAAGGGAGGCAGGACAGAGCTGACCTGTGGAAGCTGGGAAGGATCCCAATGAATACATGACGGGGAGGGGAAGTGGATGGATGAATCAGGCCACCCAAAGCCGGCCCAGAAAGTTTCCTTGCACAAAAGAAATGGACCAAACGGGACCCCTCACAGGCAGATGATCCCAGATGAAGCGATGGTGAGAAGACTTGGGACACAGGTCTGTAAAGCCCCATCAGTAACATCGCTACCTGACCAAGAGAGTGCCATTGCTCTGTAGCCACAATGCCTCACAATTTGCTTCTAGAGGAGTCCAGTGAAGAATCGTAAGCGTGCAAACCAATGGGTGAACCCAACATGTCATGAACCCCTAGTCAGGTGTGACCCCCCCCCATCCTAGAAAGCTGAGGATGAGACCACTGTGGCCAACTGCTTGGACTGGCCATACCCATCTAGCCGAAGGCCTGGTGGAGGATGGGCTGTCCTGTGATGTAAACTAGAAAGGCTCACACCTATCCATGGCCTCCAAACAATTACTTCATCTTGTCTGAACTGGCTGGTCTGGGGCAGGGATGCCTAGGAGGAGCTACTGGGTATGGGGGGATAGCAGCTAGCCAGGACAATACAGTGAGAGGGAGGGAGGGAGGAAAAGGAGGAATCTGAGTCAAATGAATGAGACCAAATCATGGGGTGTGCAACAGAGAAGGCCCCACTTACCCTGTGACTTTATATCCATAGTCACATAGGGGAAACTCCCAAGGACCGCCATTACCTCTTCATATTTGTCATCTTCAAGGAAGTGCAGCAGACTATGACGATCTGATTCCTTTAAACTGACCAAATCCTGAATAGTTTTAATTTTGTACTAAAAAAGAAAAAAAAAGAAAGAAAAAACACAATAAAATTTTCATGAAATGAAAACTAGTGGTATGCTGACCAAAAGAAAATCCAGCAACTTCAGAAAAGAGTTAACATTTTGAACATTTCAAAGCAAGACCACAAAAACTAAGGTTGTTTGTTATAAATTCATTACAAGCTTATTTTTTTAAATCAGAAAAAGAGTATAAAAATAAAATATGTTCATATAGAATATTGACTTAAGAACTATTGTCCTAAATTTATTTATTTTCAGTTATAAGCATAAAAAATCTTCCAAGTACAGGTGGCCTCTAAAGGTTTCACTATGCAGTAAGTTAAATGAATTTAAATTAATTAAAATTTAATTTAAGCACTAGATACTTAATTGTTATGTTCACAGAGATTAAATTATGAGGCAGGTAGAATTTCAACTCTAGGATTCTGTTGTTTCAAATTATTACTTAACATTGATGAAATTTATAATGGCAATCTGATTAAAGGACAGAGAACTTGAATACAGATTTCTTATACAGTTACCTTTAATTAATACTACCAAATCCAAAGCCGATCATCTACTCACTTCTTCTACTATATACAAAGGAAACTTTTTTCTTTTGTCTTCTTAAAGCAGGGTCTCACTGTGTGGCCCATGCTGGCCTCATGTCCACTACTTAGACTAGGCCTCAAATTTACCACAGACATCCTGCCTCAGCCTCCCAGTGTACTGGATACATGGCTCATACTACCACACCCAAAAAGTCAAGTTTAAAATCTACCAGGATTATAAATTCAGTTTCTTATATTTTCTAAACTATTTCTAGATATTAAAGTCTAAAAAAGAAATGATCTTTCCTTAATTAGTGTATCCTTCCCCCTCAACATCCCCGACCCCCATAACTAACTGGTATTGAACCCAGGGTCTTGTGCACACCAAGCAAGTATTCTCCACCAATACTACTTCTGAGAATGCTTCATTTTTTTTTATTTAATTTAATTAATTAATTTTTTTTTGGGGGGGGGGGGTTTCGAGACAAGGTTTCTCTGTGTTGCTTTGTGACTTTCCTGGAACTCACTTTGGAGACCAGGCTGGCCTCGAACTCACAGAGATCCGCCTGCCTCTGCCTCCCGAGTGCTGGGATTAAAGGCGTGAGCCACCACCACCCGGCCTGAATGCTTCATTTTTTATTTTTGTTCATACTCAACTATAACAATTGCCCAACCTCTAAGTCAAAAACAAAGTGAAAAGTATATGATGTATTCTTACTTGGTACATACATTTTTGTAATGTAAAAATAAAATATTAATTGTTAAAATTCACTTAACCCAAAATAGTAATTCTATAGTAGTAAAATATTATAAAACCACCTAATTAAGAAGTACTAACAAAAGATAGTGTAAATCTAAGAAATCCACAGTAGCCAAGTCTACAAAACTTTATTCACATGACCTTGTAATGACAAGTTGCTAAACTCTGACTAGAAAACAGTCTACAAACCTTTTTATGGTTGGAGACTCTCCTAAGATTGTCCTCCTCGATGTGAGGGAGCTGCAGAAGGGGAGACTTAAACTGCTGGAGGCCTTGGACAGCCATCTGTGAGAGCTTCATACAGTTTTCTAATGATGCCAAAGTTGGAGCACGAAACTCCCTTTCTTAGAAAGAATAGGAAAAAAACAAACAAAAGGGCTGTACTTTTTACACTTTTATTACAAGGAATAAAATCACACTAACGTTCAACACCTAAACTTCAACATGAGGATATTGATTTTTCCTTTAAAAACTACTGAAAAATGTTAAAATACATAAACTTGATCCAGTATATATTACTCTGCGACAACCATTAATTTAACAAAAGCCTCTGTATCAACTCCAATAACAGTAAAATATCAGGCATGCTCAGTGGTATCATGAAGTGGTGGAGAACACCTGGAATCCCAGTACTTGGGTGGCAATCCCAGCACTCACAAGGCTGAGGCAAGGCCAGCGTAGGCAATGCAGGAAGCTAGATACTACCACAAACACACAAAGGGAAGATAGATACTACCACAAACACACAAAGGGAAGATAGATACTACCACAAACACACAAAGCCCCACGTGTCCTCAGCTGGGCACAGCACAGCAAAGCAGCAGCCTCACTGCTTAAGAAGCTACGGCAGATTTGGCTACAAAGCAAGATCCTATCTCAAAAATAAAAGATAAATAAATATTGTGTGTTTTTTAAATTTATTTTTACTTTTTGAAGACAACAAGGTCTCCCTATGGAAACCAGACTGGCCTCAAACTAGACCCCTGCCTCAGCCTAACAAGCACTAAGGTTACAGGTGTAATCCATGCCTTCTGAAATTCTTTCTGTTTACAAACTCGAACAACAGTAACTAAGTAAGAAGGTATTATCAGTATTTCTAAATTCACTGGAGCATTGCCAAGAACTAAAATCACCCACAACAACAAACTATAAAAAAAAGTCTCCTTTTTTTTTTTTTTTTTTTTTAGCATTTTAGCATCCCCTTTCCCCTAACAGCCAAAAATTTCTTTTCTTTTCTTTTCTGTCTCTGTCTGCCTCTCTCTCTCTCTCTCTCTCTCTCTCTCTCTCTCTCACACACACACACACACACACACACTTACAAAAATTACACACTATGCCAAAAAAATCACTGTTAAAATAACTCAAAAATATTCAGAGAAAGAAAACATTTAAAACACTAAAAATAAAACAATGAAAAGAATGAGAAAAATCATGAGCAAATCTGTGAAACATGACTGACTCAGTATACAAAATTGTAATTAAATACTCATAAATCTTTAAACTGTGAAGTATACTGACAAATGCTTGCAGGAAAAAGTCCAAATTAATTACATTTCTTCCTCACCTTCACGGCTCCTGGCCATTATTATTAGCTGGCAGATTACATTAACCATTTCTTGAAGCAGAGCAGGACATTTTTTCAGCATGAATTGTTGATCTAGAAGAAAGAAAAAAACAACAACCCTGAAATAACCAATTCTAATATTACAGTGAAAATACCTTTCCCCTTTGAAGGCCAAGGCTAAAACAAAGTGTCCTGGCCCTTAAATATTTCACATCGTCTCAGAATTTTAATGCTTGAAAGACTGTTTCTCCTCAACTTCACTGCAAAAAGTAGATGCCATTACTAATACAAGATGTAGCAACGTTTAACATAATGGTGCAATTATATTAATTAATTATGTAATTATTATAGTCATTCCTTCCTTTCTTTAAAATAGTCTTAATCATGAATTCAGTTCTAATCCTGCTATCTTTGAGAAGGTTCTGTTTGTGCTGTTAAGTTCCTATTAACTGTGGGTCAATGCAAAGACTATGAATAAGAATAAGGTCGACTAAATACAGAAAAGAGGAGGAAGTTAAGGGGTGACTAAGCTTGTAAAAGTGCTTGTGGTGCAAGCCTGACCACCTGAGTCCAATCTCCAGAAACAAACAAACAAACAAACAAACACAATGGGCTGGTAAGATGGCTCTTCAAGTGGTTAAGAGCATCAGCTGCTCTTCCAGAGGACCTGGGTTCAAGTCCTAGCACCAACATGTGACTGACAACAGTTTGTAACTATAGCCTCGGGGGTTTATTTATTTATTTTAAAAGATTTATTATGTATACAGTGTTCTGCCTGCACATCAGAAGAGGGCACTAGATCTTATTATAGATGGTTGTGAGCCACCATGTGGTTGCTGGGAATTGAACTGAGGACCTCTGGAAGAGCAGCCAGTGCTCTTAACCTCTGAGCCATCTCTCCAGCCCCAGCCTCAGGGGATTTAATACCCTCCTCTGGACTCTTCAGGCACTGAACACACATAACACTATTGCAGGCAAAGTTATACATTAAAATACGCATTAAAATAAAAAATAAGTTTAAAAAAATTCTAACAGGCTGGGAATGTAGCTAGATAACAGAGCATATGTATAGCACATGTCAGGTCCTGAGTTCAAATACCAGCAATACAGAAAAATAAATGATATAATATTGTCATCATCATCATCATCATCATCATCATCATCCATTTGGAGGCTAGAGAGATATCTCAGCAGTTAGGAACACTAGCAGCTGCTGTGGATATCACTCTGTATACATAAAATGCTGACTGGCCAGTTGCCAGGCAGGAAGTATAGGTGGGACAAGCAGAGAAGAGAATTCTGGGAATAGGAAGGCTGAGTCAGGAGCCGCCGCCAGCCGCCGCCATGAGTAGCAACATGTAAGATACCAGTAAGCCATGAGCCACGTGGCAAGGAATAGATTTATAGACATGGGTTAATTTAAGATAGAAGAACTAGGTAACAAGAAGCCTGCCACGGCCATAGTTTGTAAGCCATCTAAATCTCTGTGTGTTTACTTGGTTGGGTCTGAGCGGCTGCGGGACTGGCGGGTGAGAGAGATTTGTCCTGACCATAGGCCAGGCAGGACTGGAGAAAACTCCAGCTACAAGCTGCTCTTCCAGATGACTTGAATTCAACTCCCAATACCCACAGTGGCTCACAACAACTTTTAACTGCAGTTCCAGGGAATCCAAAGCCCTCTTCAGGCCTCTGTGGTACCAGGATATTGATGAAGACAGATAAAATTAGCTTTTGAAACGAAATCCATTAGATTTGGTACTCAACCTAAAAAGCAGGCCCCTATAGCCTGAAGGCCAGAGTTCTTTTGTGTGAGAAATGACTAGTAAAAATGAATATGCCTGTATACATGCACAGAACATTAGTAACAAAATTACTAATTTATTTCAAAGTAACTCCAATAACAATGCCTAAAAATATTCCTTCCTTCCATCCTAAGCATCCTTCCTAGCACTAATACCAAGCAGTCTTATTTTCAGGAGTCCTGGATTACATCATTAGCTGAACAGTGATGGGATGGTAAGATTTCATTCAGAAAGAACATTTATGTTTTAGGATGACAAGTTTTTAAGTTTCAACTGAAATACTACAGCTAAAAAGGAGATGACATCCAAATCAATGATCTCTCTGGTAACACTTCCATCTCAACCCATGGCCTGTGTTTTAAAGAATAGGTATTTCAAACACTTATTTAAGTGAAAATCAACTCTACTTCTCTGTAGCTACTACTGAGAAATGGCGGGAATAATGTTGGATTAAGAGGGTCAGATATTTGCTGTAAATCTGCTTTTGTCCCTCTAAAAATTTTTTAAGTTCTTTTCTCAAAAATCACTAGATGGTGATGTACATCTATAATCTCAGTCCACAGGAGGCTGAGGAAGAAGGGTCTTCAGCTTGTGTCCAGCCTGAGCAAGTTCAAGGACAGCCTCAACGACCAAAGCCATTGAGGAAATTCTCTAGCTAACCTGCAATTATTAAACATTTCATAGGGAATATTTGATCTTGAAATAATACATTTCGACATCCGCCAAAGCATCTGATGTAGAGTTCCAAACTATCTGTAAAGTAATGATATACAAATAGATTTTTTAAAGGAATATAAACAACTATTTGAACAAAAAAGAACATCACCTAAACGCTGAATCACTAAGACTACTTATATCTGTTGCTTTGGCCCCATTAAAACCCTTTACATATTAGAGTCACAAATACCTTCTTCCAGGGTCTCAGGAATTTTCATTCTAGCAAGATGAGACAGTAAAAGAACTCTGGCCTTCAGGCTATATGGACAGGTAAGTGGAGGCTCATTCTTCTTTAAATTTATGCTGCCAATTTCTCTAATTAGCTAAGGTAAAGAAAAATAATTATTCAGAAACATATCATGAATCATTCACTTTTGTACTTTATTGCTTATCAAGAAATGTGTAAGATCAGCCTAACCTGTGGTATTAAGATATTATCTGTTGGCCTGCTTGTGGCATCTTTATTATATTGAGGATCAAATTCAGAAGCTCCAGCTAAAACCATGATGAGACCTACGGAAACAAAACAAATATAATGGTAAATAGATATTTACTTACTTATTAATTTCTCCTCCTGAGATAACTCCCTTAACCCTAAAGTTAAGCACTTTTCTAATCACGCACAATGCAATGCTGACAGTCATCTGGCCTCCACTACTGACAAGTAAATTAATATCTCCCACTAAAACAAAAGAAACTACACTTTTTAAAAGTGACAATTTTTACCTATCCCAAGTGAGTATAAGTGCTCATCAAATTAAGGGCACAAAAGGGCACTTAAGGAAAATTAAGATAGTTTAAAATAGAATGTTTCTATACTAAGCATGTGTTCCATAGAAGCCTGCCAGAGAGCATTAGTACTTCATGTGATGTTAGAATGTTGCATGTAAACAAGTGCCCTTCAGTTAAGTAAGGCTGGAAACAAGAAATTACCAAGAGTGAGAGATTCTCTTTATTCCATGACTTCTCAGAATATCAAGTAAACAAAACTTCTGGAACCTTGGAGAGTTTTATGGAAATGCACATAATTCCCTGCCACATGTATTATTATCCTAAAAGCTCTATAAGGACTGACACCACAATCATCAATTTCACCCCAACCATGAATCTTACCTTTCCTTTAACAGAAGGGAATCTGTGCTAACAAACAAGGGCGGGACTACAGACGCTCAAGAGTAGAGAGGACAGTTCTGTAACATCTCCTTGCACTTGAGTTTCTTCAGATGTGCCCAACACACAGCAGGCACCATAAA